TGCAGCCTTTTAAAACCATCGGTTGGTTTAAATCCCTGTGGGTGTTAGGGTTAGGGTTAGACAAAACTTAGGCAGTGTCGTTGTCTTTAAATGAAATGTTTCTCTGACATGTAGAAATTATATTTGAAAAAAATATTTAAAAAAATATATTTGAAAAAATAGATTTTATATATATATTTGAAAAAAGTGAAATAAATAAATGTGTATGTATATGTTTGTATATAAGTACATACATATATGTATATATGTTTTCTTTGTTTTTTTTTTCCCTTTCAGCTGTCTTACATTCATAGATTGAAAGAAATAACGCGGCATGAAAAGATAGATTATTACAGTAGATTGGCTCTAGCTTTGTGTGCTATCTCACCAACTTATCAATAACATATACACAGCAGTAACCGCAAGTGAGTCCCTGTAGATGACAAGGTCTAGTGATCACACTGGCAACTGCCGTTATAGAAGCTGAGGCCACTGTGAGGGACCACTTCATATTGAGTAGAGCTGAGAGACAGAAACTCCCTGTGGTCTGTGGGGCTCTTTTCAGACTCAATTGGCGTTGCATGTAATCGTCTCTCGATTCAAACACGTCCAGCTGCTCTTTGTTGGACACAGTGGCGGACAATAGAGCAGATCACAGGACTACTGCAGGGGACGGCAGCTTCTTTCTGTCTTATCGCACCCTGCCTGCCTGCACTGCCTCTGTCCTGCTGTGTAGAGGTTCATTCTCCCATGAAAGTATTTGCATCTGGGCTTTCGTTCTTAAAAAGTGAGTGTGAATGTATCTAATGTTGCATTACTGTGACAGGATTCAATGTATTCAGGCCACAAATGAGAGTTATGTGTTTACCAGTCTGGGGTTTACCGGTGGATTGTCAGTAACAAAAGTTTCATTGTTCTAAGATAAAGTAACATTAATGACTGAATGTCCTTGATGTTTATTTTCTTTCAATAAGATCTGAGCTGATATGGTGGTGGGTTAAAAGCAGAGGCTCAGTTTCGTTGTATCCCCATGGTACAATGACAATACAGACTATAAAATAAATAAATAAAGACACCCAAGACCAATAATCCGGTCAAAAGACAAATCATTTCTTTCTTCAAGAGACGTCTCTTCAGTTTCTGACAACATCTTGCAACAGCCTTGTCTCTGTAGCTGGTGTCCCTCAGGGCCTGAGCTAAGAGTCACTAACTGTAATGAG